TTCAATTGTCATAAAATCATGGCCGACTACTAAAAAGAAAATCCGGAAAAAATGGTATCGATACGGTGAAATGGGAAAAGTCAGAGACTGTTGAAGGTAGCTATAAGAACATGCATTATCAAAATATGCCAATTTTGTCATTTTAAAAAAAAACTGAGCTTTTAAACGAAAGCTCTATTCTTTCTCTATGCAGTGGTAAAAATGGAATGCCATAACTACAATCGTTTTCAAGTAATCAGTATCGTTTGCATCCGGCATTTTTTTTAAATTAAAGGTTAAAATAATATAAAAACCATAAATTGTAGGTGTCGACATGTGGGCCAAAAGAACTGAAATTTCGCGTAGAAATCAAAAGTACAATAAAAAATAGGGGTTGCCATTTAAAATAACGAAGTTACTAGCCACTTCCGGTCTTTCGGGAAGTGCCACCATTTTGAAAATATAATTATAAATATATAATGTTACCGAAACCCGTTTTAAAACCCTTTTCAAATTTTTGGGACCCCTCTCCAAGCTTTTCGTTTTAAAATAATGGCAAAATTAATTAAAGACGCATTCGGCACTTTCGTGGTGACGTCATTACAAAAACATTTCGAATCGATCACGTGACTTTTGCAGATCTTTATTACGTGTAGAGTTGGCTTCCTATAGCCATCTATTCTATGCATTGACATGATCTTTTTGAAATCTCAGTAATTCCTACCTTAAATATTTCTATTTTTCTTCATAATAGTTTCTGAAGTTAATAAAACCTTGGCTCCTCTGTATTAACTAAAGGTCTAAAGCTACTACTAAATTACCACACATTCCTCTTAATAACATCATTAAAATCCTCATTTACTTTCCACGTACTATTGTCCCCTAGTTCGATAAATTACTGCAAATGCGAATAAACATGATTAAAATGACCCACAATAACAGTATGGTTTATTGTAAATCCCGTAGATTCTCACATCAACCACCATCACCTATATTTTATCCAACTCAGGCATTTATTACTTTTCTACATCGCTAGTACTTTCAGCTTCCTCCTTAAAAATGTTTGCCCTCTACTTGTGAATATGTATCACGTTGTTTATTAATCTCCTCCTTGTTCTTTTTTATTGGCAGGCCTGTAATTAAATTTGTTATTCCTGTTGTATCCCCCATAGCCTGGAAGATGAGGATAAAAGTTCGCACTTTTGAGTAAAGGTATGATAATTGGCGCACGTGCTCTTTGATCGTTCCTCTTAGAGTTTCGACCTGGCGCCACACTTATTCGTCCCTGGAACCCCCGTTAGAGGGGGTGAGAGTTTGATTACGCAAATGAGATTTCTAATGACTGTACCATTTTTTTCGACACTCTTTTAGCTCTAAACTTGCAATATTAGCCACAAAGGAAAATAATTAAATCACAAAGATTTTATGGCATTCAGGGGTATAATCTGAGCCCTTTAAGTGCGGGTTGCCTACCCTTTCGGGTGCTGATAAGTAGCTACGCCATTTACGATTTATATGACTGGACTATCTAGACTCTCTCCATTCGAAAAATGATGGTATGGTTAACTGCTAATGGGAAGTGATTAAATTATTAACCCAACTGTTCTGGGAAACTTTTACTGACCTTAGCATTTAGAGAAAGTGATATTTTACATTATTACCTTCTGGTCAACGTTTTTCAACTTCAAAGACACCAGGCACAAATATGCACTACCCTTTACTATACCTAGGATAGGTAAAGTTAAATACCCGTTCTCAATACGCAGAGTTTTGATCCTAAAACACTGTCCGTTGTTGTTGAAATAGTTGAGTAAGCACAAGAACTTTGCACGTGGAATGTATTGATTTCTAAATTAATTCACTTTAGTTAATAGCATGCATCTGATTGGTGGCTGCTGTGTAATCGCTTCCTTTTTGATTTAGTATTGAAGCAGTGAGTTGTAGTTTCGACGAAGATGGTGTAGAGCAACGTATTATTTCAGTAAGATAAATAAAGAAATAAACTAAACAAATATAGAAGACGAGCTCCTAGGTATGGCTATAGCATGTGCAAAACCAAATTTTAAACCGGATGTTAGTTTTGCTTTTATTTAAAGTGTATAAATATGTATGAAATTTCATTTAATTGCTTCCATAAATAAAAAAGTTGGCACTGCACATCCTACACAAAACCAAATTTGGAAAATGGGCCTACATTTGCTTTTACTCCAAGTGGCTATGTATGAAATTTCATTTAAATCCCTCCATAAGTAAGAAAGTTTGCAATTCGGTTTATAAATGGTCGAGATGCGAAAAGGGCACTGTGAATGTTGATCGATTAGGCTCAATTTTTGGAATTGCGTTTTATATGGCTAAAGCTATACGCATATTGAATTTCATGCAATTCGGTTCATAACTCACGGAGATGTCAAAAGGGCTTTCCTTATTTTTTGGGCTACATTGCCAATTCACGAACTCCGATCTACAAATTTGATAAAGAATCCATCCACCTAAATTTTATCGTAATCGGTCCATTCATTATCGAGATATCGTGCTACGGACAGACGGACAGACACCGCAAAATTATAAACTCGCTAGGAGCTCGTTAATAAGTTACACAAATAGCAAAGTAGCGATACATCGGTGGACCATGACTTAGGGAAGAAATGATAAAATTTACAAAACGCAAGTACATTTTTATAGCTTTGTGTGTTGCATTCATATTTTTAACGCGTGTTCAAATCTATGTTTGAGCATACTGCCGCATTCACTATAATATCATAAGTACGAGGAGTCGTTTTTATATTCCCGAACTAGGCATGAAAAAACAAAGTTTTATTTTTCAATATAGTTCCCCTGCTTTTGAATACGGTGTAACACCGTTTCAATAACATCCTTAATCCAATACACAAATATTAATTTGGTGTTTCAGAAAAATGGCGCTCAACAGCTGCTATAAGTTCGCCATTGTCTCTAAATTTGGTCCTCTTATGGCCGTTTGCACCGACAATTTTAAGCGGAGCTTAGCTTAAGCGTAGCTTAAAATCCATGGCAACCATTGTCTCAATAATCGTTGCCATGGATTTTAAAGCTACGCTTAAGCTACTCCGCTTAAATTTGTCGGTGCTTTAGGGTTTTTTTTTTTAAATTTGGAAACAAAAAATAGTCACTGGGTGCTAGATCTGGACTATAAGGCGGATGTTCAATTTCTTCGAAACCAGCGTCAGCTACAGCAGCTTTTGAAAGTCTACACTTGCGCACTGAAAACAGTGCTTTCTGAAACTCATAATTGTTTCTTCTTTAGTTTTGAATCCTCTAACATTCTAACACTTCGTTTTTTCAATAATATCTAAAGTGATCACGTCAACAGGGTGTCCTAGACGGCGATCATCATACAATGATTCGCGTTCAAGTTTACACAATTTTTATCACTCGCAAATGCTTGATTTAGAAGGGTATACAGTCAACATTTCCTGCCGGATAACTTTTGGAGGTTTTTCTTGTTTTGTAAAGAACAGAACAGCTCGGTATTCGATTTTATTAATTTCGATACATACAGTGTGCCCCAGGTAGAACCCATCATAGGGAAACGGTAATGTATTTTCTCGCGAAAGATCCACGCAGTCTTTGAAATTAACGTTCAATGTACTGCTGTTCTCTTTCTAGCATCAGGCAAGCGCAACAAGCAACTTCAAATATACATATCAAAGGCCTCGTGAATCCGTCACGAAAAAATACATTAATTATGTTTGTCTATGCTGTGTTTAACCTGGGACACACGGTATACAACGCGCGACGACACAAACTGTCAGATAATAAAATTAATAATGTTGCGATTGTTTTGTAAATTGCCACACAAGTTACCCATACATAAAAAACAGGGTTTTCGGAGTCGAATAATTCCGGAAACGGCACCGGAAAATCCCTTCTTTTCAAATAGTAGGAGAGCTACTGGCACATTTTCTTAAAGAGTTTTATTATTGTTGATATTTGGATATAAGATGTGTATGCTAATAGCATATTATGCGAGAGTCTGGCAGCCATTTCGCGGATGACGCGGCGGTGGTGGGTGATCGAAGATTTTCAAAATTTAATCAGTTTTACTATTAATGAACCTTGCTTTATTTTATTTATATGAATGTACTGAAATGATAAGTAAGACTTTGAAAGACGCCATATAATTACATGTAATAAGGAATTATCGCGTTTGTAATAGCATATACGAAGACCAAATTTCAACAATAACAAAACTTTAAGAAAATATGCCACTAACTGTTAGACTGTAACACGTCTTGTTAAATGAAAAATCCGCAGCTTTCCATGAGGCCTGAGTGTTGAACGTTCAAACCCTTTGACCGACCGATGGACTAAGGTGTATTTTACTGAAACACGTTAAAAATAATCACAGTGGTTAAAGAAAATTATCCACATTTAGAAAGACAGAAACAAGTGCGTGTGCTTTATTTACTGAGAATTCAGAAAATCAGTTTGTATTTGAAAAGAAAGCTTTGGCATTAATTGTAGATAACTTAAATGGACTAGGTAGGTGCAAGTCGGTTCTATATTGTTATACACAATTTGAGAATAAATTTTGCTATATGGCTATACTTGGCTGGTATGGAAAGCATGTATACATTGGATTGGAACTCGCTACATAAATTATTCTTGACATAATTAAACCCAATCTTCTATAAATTCAAAGAGATATACCTAAATTGAGTAATAAACACGCACGTCTATGTATAGTTATTGCTTTATTGCATGGCTTCTCTACAATCTCACGTTTAATTACAAAGAGGGATTGATTTTATCGAATACCTACTCAATAATCTGTTTTTCTCCTTTTATCAAAAGCATGCGAGAAAATAAATTGCTTTTAAGATCTTTAGAACTTGAGTATAACATCGTCACGTATTTTGTATGTACCTAGCTGTATCCACGAGTACATGGACGTGTACTCTGAGGTGGTGCAGCCGGATCCAGCAGAGTTGATCAACTCCCCTTTTGGAGGACGTTACTGTGGACCCATTTCACCAAGACGTCGGATTTCGCTTTATCGCGCCATCGCCCTCAGTTTCTATTCGGATAAGAACAACTCGACGCCCGATCTCTTCACTGGCAGATATTCCTTTATTAACGATTGTAAGTAGGATTTGGTGTTGTTAATTAGTTTCCTAGTTATGCTGAAGTCGATATTGTTACTAAAGAGAGTAAAATTCAAATAGCCTACATGATGTTATTCTTAGTATATGATCTATTCATACAACGGCGGAATTAATTAATGCAAAAGACTATACTTCAACAAACAAAACAGCCCGATATAACGTTTCGTATAATTATGTACACGCCACGGGTTGAAGCACGAAATTTATCAAACCATATTCTGGTGGCCAGAGCTGTCACTTTTAATAAGATTTAAATCTTTTTTATGATTTAAATACTTTTTTCGATTTAAATCATTTGATCTTAAATCTTTTTACGGAAAATGATTTTTGATTTAAGATTTAAATCTTCATGAAAACTATCTTTGATTTTGAACTTAAAAAATGATTTAAATCTTTTTAAAGATTTAAATACTTTCGAAAAGATTTAAATCGTTTCCGAGTGATTTAAATCTTTTAGAGACGATTTAATTAATACATACTAACAAATTCTCTTGATTTATTTCAACCTGACTAAGCTAATTAACCCGGGTTTTATTTCGGTAGACGTTTATATGTATTTATTACAAAATCGAGTATACCTACTGAGATTGACGATGTCTTGGTTTTTTAAAAGTTCTTTCGCAAAAAAATAAGTACATATTTTAATTTAATAAATAATAACAATAAAATACGGTAGAAATGGTAAGTATATTGATGAATGGGTTTCGAGCAAGATCATCAGACCAATCAGTTTTATTGAATTTAAATCCTTTACAAACCTTTTGTCACAAAACGATTAAATCATCGGAAAAGATTTAAATCATTACATCATTACATGATTTAAATCTTTATACGTGATTTAAATTAACAAAATTAACCTGTTTGAATGAATTAAATACATTGAAAGTATCTTAAATACTTTCTAAAAAGATTTAAATCACAAAAAATATTTAAATCTCAAAATGATTTATTATCTAAATACTCTCTTATTGACAAAAGTATCTTTGATTTAAATCATTTGTTAAAATGAAATGCATCTTTGATCTTTGATTTAAATCGTTTTTTAAACGATTTGTGACAGCTCTGCTGGTGGCATAAAGAAAATGCTGCACTATAATATTATAATGTAGGTATAGATACATAATATAGTTTACATATAAGTTTTCATACTTTCTTGCAAGAAGTACGTGGACGAGAATTGTTAGAGAATGATTTGGCGTAACAACAAATAGTAAAACCCAAGTTTTCGAACAGAAATGCTTTATTTTTCAATATTTCCTGCTAGCTCAATATACATTGTCCAACGATATTCTAAATTCGCAATATCTTTATTATAAGTCAATGAATCCAATTTCCCGAAATAGCAAATAGTAGGCACTCTTATAGGAGTTTAAAAATGCCTTTCTTATACAGCACTAAGACTTTTAAAAAAGATTGCCGTTTGCGTTTGATCACCATTTAATTAATTGTAGAAAAAAAACAACAATAATGAATAAAAAGAAGATATTGGGAAACACAGCATTATAAAAATTATGTCAAAGGAATAAAGAAATGGTCTTCTCGCAACTTCATAGTTAATCGTACCTTTAATTTTTCTTAGTTCTGTTTATGCTGTTACACGGTAAACCATCGTTACATAAAGGACAATTATTAACCAAGTTCTTCACCACAACCTGTGTCTTCCTTACAAAAATATCTCTCTCCAATGAATAACCTTTTTAACTACTATTTTAAATGGGAAAGCATTCATTTAACTAAAATCAGTGGCGCAATCAGAAATTTGCTTTGAGAGGTGCTAGAATTAATAGTTGTCTTTCTTTTTTCGAGAGGGGGGGGGGGGTTGTTGAAAGACGTAGTACAAAACTCAACCTTTTATTTTGGCTTAATACAATGCATTAATAACAATCGTATTTTGCGATTTTGGGCGATTTCCTGGGGATATTTAAGCGATACGTATGAAGTAAACGTTGGGAACCCTGACGCTAAGACAACCGGAACATCGAAATCATTTCATTTGTTCACTTCTTGTCTATTTGTAAGCACTTAGTCTCTTTAGAATTTGGGGGGTGTACTTCTCGTTGGGCCACTCTGTATGATAACGGTGATTTAAGTACAAATTAAAATATAAATAAATACATAAACGAATTTAAAAGAAAAAAAAAGTTTTTGGGTAATGTTTCCTAACAAAATACCATTTAAGTTTATTATTGTTTACTCCAATTCCATGTAGTTAAATACTGCAAGCAAGGTGAATAGATAACTAGTTTATTTATTCAAAGGTAGGTTTCCCTAATCTAGAAAATTTGCAATTAGTTTATCCTTTCCATGATCTGCATCAGCAAATCCTTCAAAGGAAATTATTGGGAACTTGTGTCGGACGAAAAACCAATTTTCTCAACAATGCCTTATAAATAAACATATTATAGCATCTCCAATTTATTTTACCCTGAAATTTCCCCACACGCTATTAAATTTTATTAGAGAAATTATGAAGGCGACGTCGACTACGGCGGTAATTAACAAATTCTACTTGAAATTTGAAAGCGGCTTACGCTACAAATTGATACAAAGTGTAACAATAATTCCATGAAATAACTCTGTGTTTTGTACACATTAAGTAGGTTTTAGAATTCAAATTAGAAGATTGAAGGCATTGTTTGATATTAGGTAGCTTAACTGAGGCAACGTCATGTAATAAACGGTTACGTGGAATACATCCAGGTTTCTGAATATGCGATTGTCCTAATACATCTTAAAGGATGAATAATTTAGACCACTTCAAAATGTAAGCTTGTTAGCGTTTACAGATGATGTTTGCCAAAAGTAATTGTATTGTTCCAAATACAATGCTACTATTTTCCCTTATTCCTACTTTGAAAATTTCATCAAACCCTGCGATTCCTTAAACATGCCATTTAAATGCAGTATCTACCCATTTAGTTTCATTGTTGTGTAATAAAACCTATTGTTTGTGTTGCACAATGCACACATTAAATTCAGCACACCAAATTAGGCTCGGCTCTTCTAGGTTTCGCAAGTTATACGATATCAAAAAATATTCTAATAGATAAAAACCGTTTCTACATTAAATTCAATTCAATGTAATAGAATTTTACATTGTAAAGATTATACGGCAATTTATTAGGCACCTACCCAAATGATAAGAAATTTAATACAACCCTTTTGTTTGCAGCTGAATACGAAGTGGGTGTACCGGTAGCGAACACTCCTTGTAGCTTTCTTATTAAAGGGGCAGTTAAACCAACAGGACTCATAATGTCGCCTACTTATCCGGGTGCCTATCCAAAGGATATTACATGTACATACCAATTCCTTGGTACGCCTGGACAACGGGTGCGATTGGAGTTTCGAGATTTTGACTTGTTTTTTGGTGGACCGCAGTAAGTATTTCTGTCACACTCTAAATAATTATAGAAATAAGTTTTGTAAAGATCAAAGTAACTTTAGTAACTTTAGAAAGCCCTTAGTACGATATAAAAGTAAAATAAAACATACTTTTTTCCTCTTACTTCTAGGGTACTTATCACACTTAACACAGTTATAAAGTTCTAGACAAGATATGATGTACCTTTTTCTCAATTTAGGGTTTAGATTTCGTTTTTCTTTCGTATAAATGATCTCTCCAATAAAAAAATGTATAATTGAAAATTTTGAAAATAATGTTTGCGCGAGAGAAAGTTTCTCCTGTGCCGAAAATAATTAGCTTCAAAGCTCTCGAACGAGTAAAAACAATTTAAAAAGTGTAACATCAAATTAACCGGGACGAATGCTGCGCTACCTTTTTGATGCCAACGTCAATAAAATCATGCCCGATTTCTTTTGGGGGAGAGACTTTAAAAATTCATAGACCTGTCTTACGGTATTGATTGCCTTTTTTTTTCCAGCTGTCCCTTCGATTACGTAAAATTGTACGACGGTCCAGATAATACGTCTGCGGTTATAGGAACTTACTGTGGTCAACAACGTAACCTGGTGTTATACTCATCGGAAGCGTCGTTATTTATATCCTTTGTAACTCTATCACGCACTGCCAATACACAAAATAGAGGATTTAAAGGAATGTTTGAATTCTCAAACTCTTTTACAAAATTAGGTAAGTAATTTTTTAATTATTGTATCACAGAAAGGTTGGTTGAGCAAAGTCTTACTTTTAATAAACCTAAGATATGTGCTGTTTACTGTTACTGATATTGAAGTCTAAAGTGAAATAGTTATTTATATAAGAAGAGCGCGAACTTCAATTTCGCGCATTGAGACTGAAGGTATTTTGAAGAGGCTAGCGTTATACACAATATTTTTTCTGCACCTGAACCGATTGTTAATTAAATTTGCTGTTCAGGTTCAACTTTTTCACGTGTGCGAAATACTTTTTTTCACTGTTGATGGTTTCTCGCACATTGTCAAGAGCAACCTTACTTATTAATTAAGTGTTTAAAAATCTAGTAATTCGAGTTTCAAAATTCGTCAGAAAATGACAGGGTTTTTTGACACCTGTAGCTCAAAAACTAAGAGATTTAGGACATATGTTGATATAAACTTTTCTCCTTTAAATCTCTCGAGGATTCAACCCTGTATTATTGGCACTCAATTAATTAACACTCTGTATACGTAGTCTTGTACTTGGCATAACGTTATTAAGGCGCCAGGGGATCGCCAGAATTGTTCAACTTGCAAAGAGGTCACGTATTCAGAAAGGTTGAAAAACACTGATCTAAATAATGTTACTTAATTGTTAATTGTTAATGTTAATTAATGTTTACGATATCAGGGATCATTTGGATAAAAAAGTTGTTTTAGAGTAGTAACAAAACAGTTAATAAACAAAGAGAAGATTAAATTAAACTTTAAATCGAGCCGAACCAATTATGAACTTTAAACCTAAAGTAAACTTTGTCAGCAAACCGTTAATTTAATAAAATTAAAAATATTAACAATTTCGGAAGCAAACAAACAACATTCTTGCAAATTAAAATACAGCAGATAAAGCAAATCTTAAAAATCCAACATTTTAGACAAAAAAATCGGTTTAAAAAGCTTTCGGAAATATGAACATAAGAACAAATTGATAGTGATACAGAAAATTTAACGAACAATATTAAAAAATTTGCGACCATAGTATGCCGAAAATAACGTATAACACAAAGTTGAATAGATAGTGAAACGATACATTAACGACAACAAGAAAAAAGAAGAAATTTAGAAGAAATTACCAAAAATGAAACAGGATATTAAGATTCGAATACGATCCTTGGTAGGGGATTTTTTGACACCCATCTCACATTAAAAAAAAATTCAACAGCACTGATCTTTGAAAGAAATCGATTGGTTTGACATCACCTTCTCTTTGCTTGAATTTCTTTCGAAAAATCCCCCTAAAAATACGGAAGATAGAAAAGTCAAAATTAGTTTATAAAAAAGAAAGAAACGATTATGATAAACCAATAATTCAGGAAAAAGAAGAAAATTCAAGAGTTTTCATTACCAACCATGGAAATTAAGTACCGTGGGGTCAATTTACACTATTTCTAAAACTAACAAAAGGGAGACCATTCCGTGTACAGTGTGATACGTAAACAAAAAAATATGAACTTTTAACATTTTACCTCTCCCAAGTATTTACATATTCAAATTGCTCTGTTATATACACAAAAATATAAACAGTTTTGGGAAAGTGGGAGATACCCACACCTACAATACGAGGAGCAAGGAAAAAAATTCCACAAGGAAGCACACCACTCTTTTTATAATAAATCCCCCTATATGATGGGTTCAAAATTGTTTAACTTGTTGCCGTTAAAGTTCACCACCTGTAACAAACAAGCATTTAAAATTTAAATTAAAAATTTCTTTCAAGAAAACACATTTTATTCTGCCAAGGAATTCACAGAGTTCATGACGGCTAGATTCACTTAAGCAATCCACTTGCTAATTTACTTATTATGTGTTCACTCAATGTTGTTCGTACCTGCACGTAAAGTTTGTTATTTTTTCCCTCTTTGTATGACGTTTTAATGGCTGTGATGCACAGTTCCAAGAATAAAGATCTTTATTATTATTATTATTATTATTATTATTATTATGAACAAATACATGTATATCGACAGCAGAATGCCTAATTAGAAATTTAATAAGAGATGTCGACTTTATCGAAAAAATGGAAAAGGAAAACTTTAGAAATGACAGTTCAAAATGATGAAGTAGATCCTGAAATAACTTTAAGGGGAATAAAAATAGTTTATATGATGTTATTTATGTTTATATGTGAACGAGCATTGCGTTAAGGGTTTTTTTGCTTATCTTCATGCAGTAATTTTAGAGGCGTTTTCATGAAATTACAAAGTAAAGATGAAATAAAAAAATTGGTATGTAGGTATATTTGAAAGTTTGCAAAAGGTTTCAAATTTACCACTCATGGCTGGGTGAAGGGAGCACCCATAACTCGACTTCCTAATTTGTTACATCGCCAAAATATTCTGCTCATTTTGTGATAGTTTGTGCGCTAATCTCCAAATGGTGTGCGCTTTCCGTTTACGAAAAAATCAAAAGGTCAAACAACACTGGAACTCCATCATATTCGTATACACATGACACTAATACCATAGTTTTGTGTTCGTGTTCTGCCGATTTGTGCGCCTATACTTT